GTATTGTTGTATTCGGTTTGCCAATATTTTGTTGAGGATTTTTGCATCAATGTTCATCAGCGATATTGGCCTGTAATTTTCTTTCTTTGTATTGTCTTTGTCTGGTTTTGGTATCAGGGTGATGTTGGCCTTGTAGAATGATTTAGGAAGTGTTCCATCTTCCTCTATTTTTTGGAATAGTTTGAGAATAAAGATAAATTTTTAAGCTTAAAGGAAGTAGGGTAAATTCCTGAAGCTATCTGGTGCTCCAAAAGATTAGTTTACCTCACAGAATCTGAATAACCCCAGAAGGATAAGCAGTACTTCTGTTTTTAAACTGTTTCAAAGCATAGAGTTACAGTACTGCTAGGTGGTAACCAGATCTAGGATTTGACAATCCTCAAGCAGGTCATTCCTGGCATTACAATGAAGCCTCCAGAAGTAATTTTCTATTCAAAGTCTACTATCTCCAATAGAACACAGAATGTATCTTAACAGTGCCTTTCTTTCATTTTCTTCTCCCACCTGCATTATAAATCAGATCCTTAGTAGAAGAAAATGATTTAGGAGTAGAAAATGTTGATAAAAAGAAACAGAAAAAACACTGTTGAAAGAAATTTTAAAAATCTAAATAAATGGAAAGACATCCCATGCCCATGGGTTGGAAGACTTAATATTGTTAAGATGGCAATAATCCCCCAATTCATCTATAGATTCAATGCAATCCTTCTCGCTTTTTTGCAGAATTTGACCAGCTGGTACTAAATTTCATATGGAAATACCAGGGACCCAGAACAGCAAAAATATACTTGAAAAAGAAGAACGAAGTTGAAAGACTCACACTTCCCAATTTCAAAACTTACCGCAAGATTATAGTAATCAAGACAGTGTGGTACTAGCATAATGACAGACACATAGATCAATGGAATAAAATTGAGAATCCATAAATAAACCCTTATATTTATGGACAATTGATCTTCAACAAGGGTACAAAACAATTCAATGGAGGAAAACTGTCTTTTCAATAAATGATGCTGGGACAACTGGATACCCATATACAAAAGAATGAAGTTGGATCCCTTCCTCACAGCATACAGAAAAATTAACTCAAAATGAATCATAGACCTAAATGTAAGACCTAAAACTATAACGCTCTTAGAAGAAAACAGGAGTAAATCTTCATGATCTTGTATTAGGCAATGGTTTCTTTTGTGTGTGTGTGTGTGTGTGTGGGAGGAAGATCAGCCCTGAGCTAACATCCGTGCTAATCCTCCTCTTTTTGCTGAGGAAGACCGGCTCTGAGCTAACATCTATTGCCAATCCTCCTCCTTTTCTCCCCCAAAGCCCCAGTAGATAGTTGTATGTCATAGCTGCACATCCTTCTAGTTGCTGTATGTGGGACGCGGCCTCAGCATGGCCGGAGAAGCAGCGCATCGGTGTGCACCCGGGATCCGAACCCGGGCCGCCAGTAGTGGAGCGCGCTCACTTAACCACTAAGCCATGGGGCCAGCCCCAGGCAATGGTTTCTTAGATAGGACACCAAAAGCACAAGCAACAAAAGAAAAAATAGATAAATTTAACTTCATCAAAATAAAAAACATTTGTGTTGCAAAGGACACTATCAAGAAAGGGAAAAGAAAAAACAAAGAAAGAGAAAATACTTGCAAATTATATATCCAATAAAGGACTTATATCCAGAATATATAAGGAACACTTACAACTCAATAATAAACAATCCAATTTATAAACGGACAAAGGATTGAACAGACACTTCACCAAAGAAGATTTACAAATGGCTAATAAGCACACGAAAAGATGTTCAACATCATTAGTCATCAGGAAATGCAAATCAAAACCACAATGAGACACCACTTCACTCCCACTAGGATGGCTAAAATCAAAAAAGACAGACAATAACAAGTGTTAAGAAGGATGTGAGGAAACTGGAACCCTCATACATTACTAGTGGAGGAATGTAAAATGGTGCAGTTGCTTTGGAAAGCAGTTTGGTAGTTCCTCAAATAGGTAAACACAAGTTACAATATGATCCAATAATTCCACTCCTAGGTATATACTTAAGAGAACTGAAAACAGATGTTCACACAAAAACTTGTACATGAATGTTGATAGCAGCATTTCTTCCAATAGCCCAAAAGTGGAAACAAACCAATGTCTGTCAACTGAGGAATGGACAAACAAAATGTGGTATCCATACAACGGAATGCTATTCAGCAATAAAAAGAAATGAAGCATTGATACATGCTACGTGAATGAACTTTAAAACATTATACTACGTGACAGAAGCCAGTCACAAAAGACCACATATTGTATGACTCTATTTATATGAAATGTGCAGAATAGGCAAATTCAGAGACAGAAAATAGATTAGTGATTACCAGAAGCTGGGGGGAGGAGGGAATAGTGAATGACTACTAACTAGGCTTTCTTTTTAGAGTGATGAAAATGTTCTAAAATTAAACTACAGTGATGGTTGCACAACTCTGTTAATATACTAAAAACCACTGAATTGTATACTTTAGATGAGTACGGTATATGAATTATATCTCAAAGTTGGTTAAAAAAGAATGAAATCCAGTAATCTAAGAAACATTGCTAAAAAGGAATATACCTGAAATTATAATCTTTAATTCTTGACAGAAATAAGTACATGGTCACAGCTCTGCTGTCTCTAGAAAAAGGTATACTTCTGAGCAAACTTCTCATGTCCTGAATCAGCTACAGCTTCATTCACAACACAAACACCTATACGGAGTCATCCTCACAGGGCTGATACCAAAATCTACTTTAATCTCTCTTGAATGCACGCATGGAGTTTAAAGATTGGTAGAAATAACAATGAATAAAATCATCTAAAAGAACACAAAATATTTAATCATTCGCTATTAAAATCTGACCTATACTTTTTGAATGGCAAACCATCAATTAATCTTATTACTTTGCCCCTGAATTCTGTTTATTACATCATTAACGAAAAGCACCTCACCCCTGAAAATCATTGTTTTGTTGGGAAAGAGTTTGTTGTTGTTGTTGTTGTTGTTGTTCTTTTGCTTTCTTGTTTGGACCGGGCAAAGCAAAGACCAGGTAGCTTTTAACCCGTTCCCCCACCTCCGCAAAAGAGCCAGTGAAAGTATACAAAAGTATATAAAACCAGCTGCACATAATGTCCATAAAGGTGAGTATCCATAATGTCATCAAGGACATCAGAGTGTGTACATGTGTGTGTATGTGCACATGCAAGTGCTTAAAAATATCTCCATTTCCAGACTTCATAGTCACCTGTATATTTGCTCCTTTCCTTTCAGACAGATGATAAATGACTACGTGGGGGAAAGCAACATGAGTCAGTAATTAATTTCTCCAAAACAATAGTATTATTTGTCTCTGTTGGAAGGGCAAAGACTATCTGATACCACAGCAAGTTGGAACAAAACGTTTATCTAGGAAGAATAAGAATTTATGGCATTTTTTAGTAAATTACCTAACAACCTCATAATTTTACACAAGCAGAGGGACTCATAGCAAAAAAAAATAAATAAATAAACAAAAAAACAGGGCAACTGCATAAGAGAGCCGTAGAGGTGTCTGTCCTAGCTTGACAGACAACCTCTCCAGACCCTGCCAGCAGCCCCAGAGTATACTGAGGGCCATGAAAAGTGGCTAACTATTCTATCTGCTTCTCCATCATACACATTCTGCAGAAAAAGACATTTAAAAAGCCAAAATTCTTCAAATGTACATCTATCACTCCTCCTGAAATCACTTTTCTTTTTATCTTTTTCCCATGAGTGGAAATCTGTTGAGGAAAGTAACATGGAGGCTACGACTCAAAGAAAGAGTAGCAGAGAGGCCCAGAGAGACGTTATCAGAGCGAGCACTGCAGAAGCAGGCTTGATTCGCTCATAGAGGACGTCATCTACAACACAGACTCTAGGCATGAGAGGCCCCTGGGAAAGAATAAATAATCATGCACAGTGACAAGAAATGAAAGAAATGGTCCTATATCCTGTCTTTGACCTCTATCATCTTGCAATGGTTTTAACTGGGGTCAGAGGACTATAATAGGAGCACATGAATAAACCTCTATTTATTAAACATTTCCAGATTTTTTTTGGATGGGAACAGCAGATATCATAAGTTGGCATCGTAGCAATCATAATGGTGATGGTGATGATAGTGCTGATATTAACAATAACCATAACAACTCCTATTTATTGATGCATACCGAAGGACCACTAGCACCTGGCTAAGCCCTTACATCAGAGGCCCACCACTGTGGGAATTCTCTGAGTTTCTCTTGGGGATCATCCAAATCAGTCTTCATTTGATCCAAAAGTTAAAACCCTGAGGGAGAAGGCAGCTTTGAATGTGATCTGGGGCCCTCATATATAGTTCCCAAACCTCCTCTCAAAACTGTTCTGCTTCATTATACCCTGTGAATACTCAGCTACTAAAAATATAACTTTACAGAACTAAAGCTTGGTTAAAGTAAATAACTTGGCTAGCATTTTTCTGGCTTAGTTTGGCTATACCTATTTAAATACTTCTAGAAGGTCAAGAGACTACTTTGCTTATTTTACCAAATCTAGTTTTAGAGAGAAAAGAAAAAGAAATAATTATAGATATATCTAGTGTCTAGATTTGAAAAGCTGAGCCTCAAAGTAAGTACTAAATATGAAGAGAAAATGCTATGAAAGTGGATTTTCCAAACATAGGCTAATGGATTTAATTCTACACACATCCTTACTTATTAATATATGAAGATCTTTTACCTCCATCCGACTCAAGTCCCGGGGTTGTTGGTTTGCTGGCGTTGACTCAGAATAAGAATCAAATAACGCACACTCCCACTTGGGCTTAGGAAAGGCTAAGAAGAAACAAAAAGAATACATAAGAATATATGCTATAGTCATAGTGAGCATTATTTCCTATCAGCTTTTCTGTGCTTGCTCAATACGACAAAATCAGTTAGCTCCTATATAATAGTTGTGGCACTAATCATGCTGAGGTAGTATTTTAAGTTCTTTACACATATAACTTAGTACTTCTATTATGTCCATTTTACACATGATGAAACTGAGGAGCAGGGAAGTTAAGCACCTTACTCAAGGTCACATAGCTGGAAAATGGAAGAGCAGGGACGTGAACTGTCAGCAGTCCTGCTGGAGGGTCCACGCTCTCAGCATTTCACGTTGTAGCAGGGTAGCTGTTTTCCACATTAACCATCACTATCACAATACTTAAGTTTTAACTATGCTACTAGCATCATTTTTAAATGGCAGTAACTATGGTGATAGTTTTAACACTATAAAACACTAAGGAAATACTTCATTTTAGCTATTGTTGTTGGAAGTAAACAAACAAGATCTTATAATGATATGTGCCCAAAAAAACTTGATGAAATATTCATTTCTTTTGGTCAGCAGGAATAACAAAAATAAGAGCACAAGTTCTTGCTGATTCACAACAAGGAAATAAGAATCACATTATGGGTTTCTTCTGACATGGAACAGCGATGGGGGCTTTAGTTGGGTAGCTGAGTGGATCAGCAAAAGGAAAAATCACGCTACTTGGTAAGCTAATACTTAACACTGACGCTACTTCTTAGAAGCGGATTCTGTTTCACCACTTTGTCACCAAGTAATTAAGAAAGAAATGTCTCAACAACTAGAAAATTTGTCAATATTCCAAAGAGGAAAGGCAGATTGGGGTAGACAATAAACAGAAGCTACAAATCAAATCTGTCAAGACCAGCTATTAAGAAATCAAAATTTTAATGCAATGTTTAAAAAAATTTTTTGAATCAAATGTTAAAAATAGATTGGCATTGTTTTTAATTCTTTCTCAACCTCCCACCCCCACCAGAGTTTGAAATGCCAACTTCCCTCTACAGTAAAGTACTGGCCACTGAGTAACAGCTACCACATGCAGTTGAATACAAGCACCTTAAATTGCTCATTTGCTTACTTTGCTCTGAATTTCACAGATATCAGGTGGGGCAAATCGTGGGCCCTGGTGATTTTTCTGACTATACCAGGTGATCTCACTCTTTCCTTGGTAAAAACTCAGCAAAACACCTTTCCAAGTACCATTCCTCAATCCAGGCCCAAGAGCAGTTTTAACCAAAATAAGATTTCTTCTTCTAGTTTACCAATAAGTGATCTGACTGGAACTACATGACTAATGCCTTATCATGAGGGGGTCTTGCTGTGTAGAAAGGAAAAACTTTCAAAAACTACAAATGCCATCAATTAACTGCTAATCTCTGTCTAGCATGTCCCCATCTCTCCACCTCCACTGTCACCTCCCCAGTGCCAGCTCCCCTCAGCTCCTGACTAGACTACTGCCATAACCTGGTCTTTCAGTTTCCACCCTTGTGTGATCGTTTCAAACAGCAAATCTCATTGTGCCACTTCCCTGCTTAAAACACGTCAACATCATTGCCCATGATTTGTTCCCCACCTTCCTCTTCAGCCTCCTCCCCAGCCCCTCCAGTCCTGGCTCTTTGCACGCCAGCCACTGTGGCCTGAACTTTATATACGTCCCAGGCTCCAAGCCCTTCCCAGGGCCTCTGCAGCATACTTGCTGTCCCCCTCTGCCCAGAGCCCACTCTTCCCCCTTCTTCACCTCCGTAGCCCTTAGCTCATGCTTCACATCTCAGTTGAAACATTTAAGAAGTCTTCCCTAAGGTCATGCACCCTCTTGCTGTGGCTGTACTTCCCCTTCATAGCACCTATCACTGGCTCCAATTATGCATACATGAGTTTATTTAACATCAATCCTCTAACTACCAGCAAGTTCCATGATGATAAGAACTCTTTTACACAGTATTCTGACCACAGGAAATAACATGGTGCCTCTCACATATTAAGTATTCAATAAATATTTTTAACAAACCATACGGTAAAAATCTACACCAGAATCCACCCAGTCACCTAGGCAGGAAAATATCAAAAGGCCCATGAGTAAACCACCAAATAATCCAACTTTTTCTTCCAACTCTGCCCCTTAATTTTCAGTGTTAGGGAAAAAATCAGATACAACAATTCTTCTTTCATTATTTTATTGAAAAAAATAAAAGTTTGTCTAGTTGTGAACGCATGATGGTATCAACCAAATTTACACTCTTCACCAATCTTGTCAAAAACTGGATTAGATTTTTTTTAAAAGACTAAATATAGATCAATTAGAAAAATGTTGGAACAAGAGCTAAGCTTTTAAAAAAGCCAAATGGGATACCCAAAATGAACAGAACCAGTCACATTTCACAAAATCTAAAAGCAGAGAAGACCTAGACAGTTTTGGCCATTTTCTTGAGCTGTATACAAAGATAAACATGGGTGATAAAGCATTAAATGTTAACTGCTAAACCCCCAGGGTTTGCCTAAAATATAGTATCACTGAGTTTGACGGGGTTTTATGAGCTCTCTCATGTTTTTTATTAGAACTATATAATTATTATTTAAGATTAATCCCGCAAGCTCTGGAAATGATGTGCGATATTTCTTTAATTGAAGGGTATGTGATGGATTCTTCAGTTGTTTCTGTATAAATGCATGCTGACAGCCTCCATAAAAGACCAGGAAGAAACAAGGGGCTTCATTCCAAATGAAAGGAGATGCCTCTTGACCAGCGCTCTATTTTATAGACGCCCCCCTCTACTAGGCATAAGCAAGGCAAAAGCAGCCATTTGCAGCAGTAAAGGAATCAAGAGGCTACTTCTCTTCTGTTTCCATACTTTTTATTCAGGGCTTTCAGATTTTTAAAAATTTTATCAGTGACTTTTGAAACAGCCCACGAAACACTTGGACACCTACAAAGTGACTTCTCAAACAAGGAGTCAAGACACCTGGCACAGGTTCCATGGCCATCCCGCATCAGAACAATAAAACAGCATTAATCAAGACCCAAAAGTGGAAAGCTAAGTGTGAGCATGAGAGATGATGTTACCCAGGACTCTCCCCTGGGCTCACAAGAAGAAAGAGTGAGGGTATTAAATAAAACTAAATAGCCATGGAGCAGACCTTGGCCCTTTGGTCAGCTGTTCATCCCCATTAGAGAGAGACAAAGCCCCACGTGGCCTCGCTCCCAGGAGAAGGGGTTCCTGGATGACCCCGCACTGACTTGGTTATGGGAGCCATGTAGTTGCCAAGATAGCCTCAGGAATGTTAGCACTTCTTTGCCTCAATCTAGGATCAACAGAGTGAGAGAAAGAAAGGAGAGAGAGATAAAGATGGAAAGATAGACACCAAAGAGGAAATAGAGCAGTTTGTCATGCTGCCCAATTGCAAACTAGTTCCTGGGACCCATGAAGGTCTCCCCAAGCCTGTAAGGAAGGGTAGCAGGCTGGAGTTACAGCCTGCTGTAGTCAGACAGCAGCTATTAGCCAAGTCTAAGCTCTGAAATGAGTAGTAGCTTTTGCTCTCTGAACCCTCCCCTTCACACATTTTATGGGGGTATTTGGGGAAGATCCCAGAATGGGTTACTCTTCCCCAAACATGTTTATCTGTCACCAGCACCAGCCACATACTTGGTCTCTTCACTTTGCTTGAGCCTCTACACCCACCTCCCCACAACCTAATACAGAAGGTGACAGACTTTTTATTTAAGAGTCAGAGACCCCAAGACTGACTGACATAAGTCATTGGCCACTTTGAATCTAGTGTCGTTATGAAAAGGAGACAAGACAAGATAATCTAAGGCCTTTTCCAGATCTAACCACAAAATTTATACTCTATTAATGACTAATCACATTTTCTTTAGACACTGCTCCATTTTGCCAATAATCATCCATGACTAAGCTGTCGTGTTTCTTTTTTTTTTTTTTTTAAAGATTTTATTTATTCATTTTTTCCCCCCAAAGCCCCAGTAGATAGTTGTATGTCATAGGTTCACATCCTTCTAGTTGCTGTACGTGGGACTCGGCCTCGGGTTGGACGGAGAAGTGGTGCCTTGGGGCGTGCCCGGGATCCGAACCCCGGCCGCCAGCATCAGAGCGCGCGCACTTAACCGCTAAGCCACGGAGCCGGCCCTAAGCTGTCATGTTTCTAAGAGACCTTCCCTAAAAAGTGAGAAAGGTTGTTGAAAGCATCAGTTGTTTCTGGACCCTTTCAATGGAAGCTACACTTCTCTGAGTAACAGAAATCAGATCACTGCCCGCTGCCTTTGAAAAGGGCAAGAGACATTATTAATTCTTCCAATCATCCAAAAGAATTGATACAAATGTTGGACTCACCATAACTCTTTCCTATCCAAAGGGTTTGGGAGTAACTGTTTTATTAAGGAGAAAGACAAAGAGAGTTCTATTCCAACCTTCCGGTGTGCTGAAATGTTCTATATCTTCATCTGATTGCAGTTACATGGTATAGACATATGTAAAAATTCATCGAGTGTACATTTAACATTACAGCACATCACACATTTCACTGCATGTAATCTTTTAACTTTTTCATTAGGTATAAGAGTTCTATTCCATTCCATTGCCCAAGGCCACTTGGGTACACTGGAACGCGCCTAAAGACTCCAAGTCAGCACTTGGCTCTACAGGAAGATCTTCATTTCCTATCAGATGGGAGGTTCAGTACTTGCCTACTCCACAATTTTCGTGAAAGGGTAAGTGACTTCGGTTCAAATCCATCCAGAGTACTAGAATGGGAATAACAGATGACTCACTTATCCAAATCATCCCTATTACTCACATTATAAGATGTGAAAGTCTAAGACTGTTTAAAAGACAATAACTGTAGATACAAAGGACTCCCAAAGCATCTGGACACCATCTTAAGAACAAAAGTTCTTTATAAGGGCTCGATGGAAAAAGCCTAAGGTTTAGGATTTCTGATGAGGCCTTACCTGCTTGCAGGTACTCTGGCTGCAGAGTTGGAGGCAGGCCCTCGGGCAGTGGGTAGCCGTTCTTCCGGGCCACAATGAGGTGAAACGCAGCACAGAACTCAGGCAGGGTCAGGGCTCCATCACAGTCGGCATCACTCAGTTCCCTAAATATAACGGATGTGATGAGTACCTAACATGGGGCTCAGAGAAAACATTACTCAGCCTCAAACAAGCAAACACAACCCTCAGGCTCTCTGTGGTGGCCCTGCAGGGTCCCCAAACCCTCCTGGCCAAACCCATTTGAAATCTCAGGGGGTCAACTAGAAAAAGAAAAATGCTGATCAACAGCACTGGCACCAGTGGCACTTTATAAATAAAATTTTAAATTCCTCGGGTTCTCTGGTAGGTCTGTTTTACAACACTGAGTACACAAGACAAGAAACCATAACACAAAAAGGAAAATGACACCCAGAATTCCACCGTTAGTTGACAGTCATTGAGTAAATGTGAGGTGTGAAGAGGTCCAGACTTGGTGCTTGAAACAGTCAAGAAGGGCTGGCATCAGCCCTTTCACAGTTGTCCCGGCCATTATACAGTTACCAGAGCTCAGAAATAAGCGCTTCATTTTTCAGCTTTAAAGAAAAACCTTGAACTTTTCAAGTCACGTAAATGTTGTAACAAAAATTTGCTTGAGATACCCTCCTGGGAGAATATAAGTAAGCTCAATAAATACTGGTTGAATTATATTTTCAGATGAAACTAGCAACTAGGGAAGGCTGAAACCAGATAAGACAGAAAGGAAGAAAGGGAGAGTCTTGAAAAGGCTTATCTTCACTTCAGTCACTGTTTCCCACCGAAAGGCACAGACCTATTTACTCAGCACCAAAGAAACCTATTTGCCAAAGTAACTAAGACCCCATAAGCTCAACCAGTCTCTTAGGTATACAGAGACAAGTATACTTATGTTAGGACAAGTAGAGAGATAAGACACACAAAACTGTACTAGAAAGGTGTTACTATTTGAAAGAAAAAATATCTAAAGTAAGCTCCATAACTTTCCTTTGGACCATTCATATCCTCCTCCCCCTCAAATATTTAGAATGCACCAGCCCTGAACTAGCAGCTCCCCAGGGTGAGGAGTCAGGGAACTGTTTCAAAGGCTGGATGCAGAGAATGCCATTCTGCTTTCACGGATATGTCTTGACAAAAAGACAGGAAGCCTCGCGCCGATAATGTTAAAAGTGGGAATTCTGACAAAACAGACTGTATTCTTTTCAAAATGATAATTTCTTTTTTCCTACCTTTAAAATCTAACATAAGGCTTGTTGTAAAAAAAAAATTTACACTAGAATATACTGCCGAAGAACCTAAATCCAGCTCAGAATCCCAGATACACTGGCATGCACAAGTGTTATCAGAATAGTTTTCCAATAAGATGCACAAAACATGACAAGCAATTTTATATCCTATCGTAATTTTTGTAAATACTCATGAAAAAAGTTTTACATAAATATTCCAATGTTTTAATCATATATTTATAGCAGCATGGTCTCCCACCCAGTCTTGAGGAAGAAAAGCCCACATACAGCTGGGAGTTTACGGAGGCACCAAGAATTTTCATAAACACACATAGAGCCATCTGGATGGTCCCGGCACAGGCCTTCTGGAGCCGGGGCTGCGGCTGGCTCAGCAGCAAGGTGTAACAGTGCACACCACAGCTGCAAGTCTGAACTAGGGCCGAGCTGATATACACCAGCCAAATTTACGAAGCTCAGAGGCAGCTAGGATAGTCAAATTTAACTTAACTCCAAAACATTTGTGGACCTTCTGTTCACCTGGCCTCATAAAATATTATAAAGACTAGCTTTTCAAGGTCCTCTGGTTACTTGCATCACACCAAGTAGAAAAATCTGCAAATAAAATATACAAGATGGAAATTCTCATATCGCACACAATTGCTTAGACTGAAAAGGGATCTAGATGAGGATAATAATTAGGAAATTACTTTTTAAATAACAGCTAACATGTATAGTGTGTACTATGTGCCAGACACTGTTCATTGTGCTTTTCATATAATAACTTATTTAATCTTCACAGCAATAAAAATCTAAATTCTATTCACTCCCTTAGTCTGTTAAAAAAAATATTCAAAAGATAAGACTTGTAAAAATGTAACAGTAGGAGCTAAAGGATGCGTACGTATGAGAGTTTCATACTATGTGGCATTAATCATACTTACCATATATAGGAGAGTTCTGGAATGGAAAGCTTTGATTTGGTGAAGAAGTTCTTGGCCACAGAACCTGTCAAGAGCCATTGTTTAAATAAATCATTAATTGCTTATCTAGAGCAGCTTTTATATTTAATGTCAATGAATCACCATTTTTTCATTCAGCAATCACTATCATATAACCATAAACACAACATTTATTCATCAAAGCAACTACAAATAATGTGGCTAAAAACAACATATGAACAGCTTTTAAAAGAATATGTAAATTAGAACAGGGCAAAAGAAGCAATGACATAATACTTACTATGACAAGCAAAGTATATTCATTAATTCCTGCTTCGTTTTTACTGAAAATCTGCAAAATTTTGCTAAAAATTCAAAAGACAAACTTCAAAATTATTAAAGTAAAAATCTGTCAAGCACTTTTAATGAAAATGTGAGAAAGTAATACACAATCATGATAGAAAATAGAACAAAAAGAAGAAAATTAACACTATTAATCTCATCACACAGAGATAAGGCAGCCATTGTGGGAAAGAGTTTTGGTGAGATTTAAGATCTCTTTTTTTTTCCCCCCAAAGCCCCAGTAGATAGTTGTACATCATAGTTGCACATCCTTCTAGTTGCTGTATGTGGGACGCGGCCTCAGCACGGCCGGAGAAGCAGTGCGTCGGTGCGTGCCCGGGATCCGAACTCGGGCCACCAGCAGCGGAGCACGCGCACTTAACCGCTAAGCCACCGGGCAGGCCCGAGATTTAAGATCTCTTGATGGCTCTTTGAGAAACTTATCCAGGAACCTCTTGCTACTTTCTTTATTCATTGTAAGTTTACCAATATCAATTAAAATCAGGTAATCATTCCATTTTACATGTTACATAGCTGCAAATCCCAACTGCACTTAAAATGTTATACCCAATCCTTATTGAGATTGAAATTTTTGTGCTTTCAGCTCTTATAACAGTTTCACAGTTCAAAACTCTCAATTCTAACACAAAAAATAGTCAGATCAAAGCCCCAAGCTCTACTCTAAGCTGATAAAGTCAAGTCATTCCATGGCAATCACAAGTTTTCTAATTGGCCTTAAAACAAAGGATTACAAGGGACCCTAAAGCAGACTTATTTTCCTTTGATAGATTATTAAGGATCAAAGGCAAAGTGTCCTATAAACCAATGAGCCTCCTCCCCAAAAGCATCCTGGAAATAATGCTGACATATGACTACTGGTCATCAACACAGCTACCCTGTCAAACATTTGTCAGAAATGTCTTCAAAGCTTATTTACCAGCTATTTTATAGATATAAAGACAATCTCCCCTCATGTCATTCTTCTTTTTCCCCCTTGATATCCTTTCTTCAAATCACACTAGGCCCAAACCCACCCCTAGAGACCTGGCCTGGCCTTCAGACAGTAGAGAGACTGTTGTACCACAGTGTCTCAGAGAAGTTAGGCGGAGCCCATAGGGAAGCCGACAGCTAACAAGTTCAGTTGTGGCCCGGCTGCCACCTGCCAGAGGAGGGAGATGATGAGAAAGCCTGAGCTCTCCCTCCTTTGGTGCTGACAAAAGTTCAAACCATGAGCTAAACCTCTCACTCCAGCCGCCCCCCACCAACCACCATAGAAACCTCAAGCCAGCCTCCTGTCCTTGTTCTCTCCAGCCATTTGCAGACCTGCTGGAGAGCCACGTGTGGGGCAGAAAAAGGAGAGGTGAGGCTTAAAAGCTGTTAGCAATCAAACATCAAAACATGGATTCAGACTTTTTATTATAAGGAGTATCTCAACCCAGTAAACTACAGCTACACACAGCATTGATATATCAGTGATAAAATGTTAACACACCGAATATATACATATCTTTAAAAAATAAAGACCAGTAACCCAATATAAAAATGAGTAGAGCTATGAGAGTTCACAGAAATAGATGCAACTAACCCTTAATCATATAATAAAAGGTTCAACCTTGTTCATGAGAGATCTGTAAATTAAAACCACACAAAGATATGATTTCTTGCCTATCAGATGGGGAAAAACACAAAAGTTAGTTAACATGTGCCGATAATAAGACTGTGGGGAAATAGGCATGTCACATAGTGCTGGAGGGATGACAAAATGGCACAACCCCAATGAAGGAGTGTTTCACAATATCTAGCAAAATCACATTATCCAAAGATACACTGACAAAAATACAAAAAGACATATGCAGAAGGCTATTCACAACAGAAATATCTGTAATAGCAAAAGAATAGAAATAATCCCAATAGGAGACTGGCTGAATAAATGATTGCACATTCACACAATCCAGTAGTACATAGCTATAAAAGGGAATGGGAAATGTATCTACATGTGACTATGGAGTAATCACCAGGATATACTAAGTGAAAAAAGCAAGACTACACACATGTAGATACACATATACATGTATTTGCTTTTATTTTTAAAAACAGACAACCATAAAAAAAGGTGGTTACCTATATGGGCAAGAAAGGAACAGGGTAGAGGGGATAGGGATAGAAGCTAGACTTCTTTGTAGATTGTTTTGTGACTTTAGAACCATGTAAATATTTCATATAAGTATAAAATTAAAATTTAAAAACACAATCCCTAAAAATTGAAATCAAAACAAAACTGAAAAGAACAAAGTTAGAGAACTCCCACTTCCCAATTTCAAAACTTACTACCATAATCAAGGCAGCGTGGTACTGGCATTAGGCTAGACAGATAGATCAGTGGAATAGAATTAACATCCAGAAATAAATCCTCACATTTACAGTCAACTGAATTTTGACAGGGATGCTAAAACAATTAAATAGTTTTAGGGGAAAAATAGTTTTTTCCACAAATAGTGCTGGGACAACTGCATATTCACATGCAAAAGAATAAATCTGAACCCCTACCTCACATCATACACAAAAACTAACTCAAAATGGATTAAATATCTAAATGTGAGAGATAAAACTGTAATATACATCCCTTCTTAGAGGAAAACATAGATGTCAATTTTTGTGATCTTGGATTAGGCAATGATTTCTTCAATATGACACCAAAAGCACAAGCAACAAAAGAAAAAATAGATTGGACATCATCAAAATTATAAACTTTTGTGTTTTAAAAGACACCATTAGGAAAATAAAAAGACAAGCCACAGACTGGGAAAAATATTTGCAAATCATGTATCTAATAAGGAACTTGTATCTAGAATACATATAAGAACTCTTAACCATTCAATAATAATTTTTAAAAAATGGCAAAGGATTTGAATAGACATTTCTCCACAGAAGATATACAAATGGCCAATAAGAACATGAAAATATGCTCAATGTTATTATTCATCTGGGAAATGCTAATCACAACCACAAACAAACACCACTTCACACCCACTAGGATGGCTATAATCAAAAGACAGACAACAACAAGTGTTGGCAAGGATGTGGAGTAATTGGAACCCTCATACATTGCTGTTGGCAATGTAAAATGGTGCGACCACTGTGGAAAACAGTCTGACTGGTCCTCAAATGGTTAAACATAGAGTTACCAGATGATCCAGCAATTTCACTCCCAGGTATACATCCAAGAGAAATAAAAACATACATCCACACAAAAACTTGTACACAAATGTTCACAGCAGCATTATTCTTAATAGCCAAAAAGTGGAAACAACCCAAATGCCCATCAACCGATGAATAGATAAATAAAAGGTGGTATATACATACAACAGAGTTATTCAGCCATAAAAGGAATGAACTTCTAGTACATAGTACAACATGGATGAACCTTAAAAACACTATGCTGGGGCCGGCCTGGTGGTGTAGTGGTTAAGGTCGCGTGCTCCGCTTGAGCAGCCCGGGGTTTGCGGGTTCAGATCCCAGGCGTGGACCTATGCACTGCTTATCAAGCCACGCTGTGGCAGGCATCCCACATATACAGTAGAGGAAGATGGGCACGGATGTTAGCCCAGGGCCAATCTTCCCCAGCAAAAAGAGGAAGATTGGCGACAGATGTTAGCTCAGGGCTAATCTTTATCACCAAAATAAAACCAAAAAACAAAAAACACTATGCTAAGTGAAAGAGGTCAGATACAAAAGACCACATATTATACGATTTCGCTTATTATACGATTTCATTTATATGAAAATCCCAGAATAGGCAAATCTATATAGAGAGAAAGTAGTTTAGTGGTTACCTAGGGCTGGGAGGTAGGGAGAGCAGGAATGGGGAATAAATAATTGCTAATAACTAGGTAGGTGGTTTATTGTGGGGTAATGAAAGTGTTCTAAATTTAGATTGTGAATGTACTAAAACCGCTGAATTGTACACTTTAAATGGGTGAATTTTATGGTATGTGAATATCTCAATAAAGATGTTTTTTAAAAAGAGACATCACCTAATTGCAATATATGAACCCCTCTTGACCTTGATCAAGCTAAATTTTTTTAAAAAGGCATTTGTGAGACAAATAGGAAAATCTGAAGACTTGATGATATTAAGGAATTCGTGCTCTTCCTTTTGTTTTAATGTGTGCCAATAAATTGTGGTTATGTTTTTAAAAGAGGCCTTATCTTTAGAGATACATCATGATATAGTTTCAAATGAAATGATCTGATAATTGCTTCACAATCATCTGGGGTGAGAGAGGATATAGATAAAACAACACAGTTGTGGCTGTGTGACAGGTACATAGACAGGGGTTTGTTATGCTCACCACTCTAGTTGTACCTATATTTGAAATTCTGCAAAATGAAGAAGTTAAGAGAAAATAAAAACATTCCTAACAACTACCTAGTTGTATTTGTCTAATTATTTGCATATATTGTGAAGAAACTCACTTAAGCAGTGGGTAAAGTTAGCAAGTGGTCAATACGTGCAATCTGGGTTTCTGCTTATTTTTTTTTAAATCATGTTGTCAACATTAACTTGTATCTACAACATTCTCCCCTCAATGAAGCCATTACCACCATTCAGAAAACAATACGTGCATTTATACACATATATTTCAATTACACACATTATTTCACGAGAGAAAATTAGTCTTAGTCCACACTTCAATATGTCAGGTTACAATTGTTAAGGACATATTGTTATTCTTCAAAATTGAAGTAAAAAAAGACAGTTTTATAAATCTTTCTTCCAGACTCTACTATTTCACTGCTTGTTTAGTCTTCAGCCCTATAAAATGTAGGCATACAGGAATTAAATCAATTCCTCTCAGCTTGAATTTTACATGATAACTCAACAGGAATACATATTTCTGAAGACAACCCAGAAGAACTGACATGTGGACATAAAAATGCTGGCCAGTTTCCCTCCTATATTTTAATTTCTCTCAGAAAAACCAGAAGAGAAAGACTTGAGTCAAAGAAAATGAGAATAAATTTGAACTTCTAAGGCATATATAGCATAAGGAGACTTGTGACACTAACTCTTTAGAAGGCTACATTATGACCTTGCTCTAACTCTAAAATAATGAGTAAGCAATTAAAGATGTCGTCTTGGTGCCACACTCTATCATTTCAAGAACTGCTCCAGCTAATAAGGCCAAGGGTCTGAACCACGTTCCTCCAAATCCCATTTAACCCCTCTGAAACTGAAACATAAGTTTTCAATGTCATTGTCAAGTGTTTTTCTGCAGGGTTTATAGTTGATAAGAAATTCAATCTTAGAGGAAAACAAATTGAAATCCCAGAGGGTTGTTGTACTCATTTTGTGGTGAACTATTTCTCAAGATGTGTATACCATTATTTACGTGAGACAATGATCTGGGACCCACATTCTCACCATCAGACTTCGTTACCTGAAATGAAGGAACTCGGGTCAGGCTGAAGGGATCGGAACTGATTGACATAATACTCGCGCTGCTCTTCTGTTATCCTCCAGGGTTCGTCCAGGTAATTACTGTTGTTATCCTGTGGTTCTCTCTCCACTGAAAAGGACTTTAAAAGTAAATAAGCAAACGCTCAGAGAATCTGTCCTTAGTGAGATGAAGTAGAAATATTAAACATCAATAAAAGTTATCATGTGTTATACTTATTTTTTTCCTCAAGGGAATAAATTTAAACATCTTGCAACTAGAATATAAATTTCTGTGAGGCAGACATCACACTTCATATTTTTTTTGTATTCTCCAAAGTTGTTAACAGGACTGAGCATGAAATACTGAATATTCAGTAAGTTTTTCCAATGTGATGAAGGAAGAGTAAAAAAGACAATCATTCTTCAAATATTCACCACATTTTGATCTTTTCAGATTAGCTGAATAGATAGTAAAATAATCTAGATTCTTTTTAAACCATAAAATATCTAGAAAAGCTATAATCACACCATTTTTTTTTCTGAGGCATTTCCATTGTATAAATCTGAGAATCAAAAGTTCCCATTCAAATGCCCCCTCCCCAGGTCCTACTTGAGGGGCAAGTGAGAATCACAGAACCTCTCATTCCACATTTGTGAACTGGGGATAACAGTAATAGAGCTGGATGGAGAGAATAGCTGTCATGGTACCACAACAAACAGGGTAACAAGGGGTGCATCAGACCTGCCACTAGGGGGCATGCAAGCCAAATTTGAGGATTTAAGGATACAGAGAACCAAAGAAGCAGTGCAGGAGAAAACACAGCTCTGCTAGGCAGTGGGGAAAGCAGCGAAATATGGTGATTCTGGGATAAGGAGCCCAGGGCTTTGTTCCATCCCTCCCATCTACCCTAAGGCTAAGGTGCTACTTGCCAATGGCCACCTTCATGGCACCAAGAGTTGAACATAAGGAGGGCAAGCCTTCACAACAAAAGGAGACTAGGAAAGAAAGGGAGAGGTGTTACTGCTAGTAAGCCACCAAGTTGCCTACTTCTGAACACTCTATCAAGGAATTAATCATTAGAAGGGCATTCTCCTCACTATCCCTAGAAAAGATCCCAGAACATCTCCTCCCTCTTGCCCCTACTCCAACATACACACACCCCATTCCAGGAAGTAATTCTTCCCAGGAACACCCGGCTCGCCTCTGACAAGGTTCAGAGAAGAAATGAGACTATAAAACTTTGAGCTGTGATATAACCTTGAGATGTCATCTTTGAAGTTTTCGTACTAGATGAGCTTCCACTAAATGTAAATTAAATCATTTTTAAATGCCTGGAAGCCACTATCCATTAGTTAATACCTTAAATTCATAGAGTGCTTTGAAATTTACAAAGCATTTCACACGCCCTTATCTCATCTGAGCATCTCAAAACATTTGAGAGGTAGACATAGCAGGTATTATTATCCTTCTCCCAGATGAGGAAACCGAGGCTCAGAGAACTTAAAGGTTGTGCCCATATCCTTCAGTCAGCAAATAACTGCCCTCTTTTTTATTTGTTGTTCAAACTCAGGCTCTTGCATATCAGGTTTTTTTTAAATTGAGTTGCATCCATCTGAACTGTTTTCAGAAACCCCCTAGCATTCTGGTAATAAACAAACAATATAAATTAAAAAATCAAGGGAGATGAAAAGTCAGTCTGAGCACCCGATGGATGATGTGAAGATGACTTTCCAAATCACTCCTACCAAATTCCAGAGCCAAATTCAAATGCGCCAGCAGCATTTGCTGAATGAGCCCAGATGTCTGACTGGGTTCCGGGGACAGAACCCAGGGTAGAGGGTGTCAGCATGCACTGGATTGGGTTCCTGGTCAGATTATAATGCGTAGAGTTCACGGCAGCACTGCCCTCCAGGTCAGCACTGATAGAAACAGCTCGAGTAAAGCAAACTAAAAAGCTGGGCATCAGCAGGAAAGACAAGAACGGATGTTTATGAGTGAACAATTAAGCAGGCAGAGACGGTTCACGAAGCCAGCGGGACAGGGGTAGAAAGTTCTGTCCCACCGCTGCCCTTCGAATGAAGGCAGCAAAGTCCCCCATGCTGGGTATTGGCTGCTGCATTCCCTGGTTCTGACACGGAAGCTACTACTCCCCTAGAATACACTTCTTCCTTGCCTGAAACTGAAGCTGCCATATCTAGCTGTTGTTGTTAATGCCAGCCCGTGTTTGTTCTTTCTCCAATCCCATGACCATCTGCTCACTTTATTTCCTCTCCCACATTACCTCACTCCTGAGCAGAGTCAGTGGCCTCTTAGTAGGTCTCGAGTCTATTCTGACAGCAGGACTCAGGAAGGACCTGGAGAAAGTGATTGATTCTTCTGCTTAAAAGCTTACAGGATGACCTGTTGACTGATAAAAAAAATATCCACCTCCTCTACCTGGCCTTTAGGGCCCCTACAATCCAGCCTCCTCCTCACTCACTCTCGGCAGGCTTCTGATTGCCCATGTGCTCACTCTTCATGGGTCAGATTTGTGGTTTCCTCCCAGAACACCCTTCCTCTAACCCCAGCCTGCTCAAATCCTACCCATTGCTCAAGTCTCACTGCCCCAAAGGGCTCTCCAATGTACCTACCAGGCCCACAGCCACTGCAGAGGGCACTGCCCATCCCCCAGCTCTGCTACAAAGATGGGCCTGGCAGCCACGTGTGCACCACAAGATCCACCTCACGCCTGGTCTCACCCAATTAAGTCCAAGTCAGTAGGAGTGGGAATACAGTTGCTGGCTTCTGGGATGCTCTGGCATGGAAGGCTCTTCTCTAGCAAGAACAACTTAGGCCAGATGCTCATTCTTGGGATGTGGATAAGAAATATGAAGATCAACAAGCAGAGAAAGCAGACCCTGAACAGATGCACAGCAGGGCCATGATCTAGAGTAAAGGTCAGGAGAGAGCCAGAACCAAGCATAAGCAGAACCAGTGAGACAGAGAAGTAGGGAGTGAGGATGGCTGTTGGCAGCTAAAAGACAAGTGGACAGCAAAGCAAACTCAAGGCAATGAGGGCAAGGCCTGTTCGTGACAGAACAAGCACAAATAACCAAGAACTCCCACTCCTCAGGACCTTTGGGCCACTCCTTGTCTCTCATCTCTTGGATTCCCATGAGAACCCCAACCCCTCCTCCTTTCCAAGAAAACTTGAGCTGGCAAGGAGAGTTCCTGCTCCCTAAAACCAAAAAGGCCTTGCAACAAAGAGAGAGGGCATGGCATATGAACACTGTGTAACTCGTACATAGTGTGGCCTTTCTACTGGCTTGTTCTAGCTGGCTTCTACTAGCCCCATGCATGTTTTTAATTGATTTAATAAACCAAGTGATTTGAGCATCTTAAAAAATATGAATCTTTATTCTAATTATGATAAGTATCTCACAATTTGAACATTACAGGTGCTCTTGAATATCATCACTTAGGTTTAAACCTGGAGGACCAGAACCATATCATAAACTCTATTCCACATATAGTCCCCAGCAGGCACATCAGAGATACTAAAAGTCATGTGAGGTCCACTTATTGACGGGCTCTAGTAAGTTCAGGGGTATGCCTTATATTGAAAGAGATGCACAAACACTATGCTGTGCTTAATGAAAGAAAACCTATGAGTCCATTTCATATTTTAAAGTTTGAGATCTATCAGAAGTCCCTGTCTGTCTTCCTGTAGTTCACCCACGGTCTCTGATATCTATGGGGAGTTCTCAAGTTCCACATCCATTCAGTGACTATTTCAGGGACAGGTAAGGGCATATGGAAGGGGTAAATCACATTCCACATACCGTTAGGCTGAAATATTCCAAAAGAAAGCTGAACCACTACAAGAAGAAAAATGACTTGAACTTTGCTGCATAAACAGTGACCCACTCATTCATTCATTCAACAGATACTTATTGAACACCAACGATATCCCAGATACTAGTCACTAGGGATACACTGATGGGCAAACAGATTCTTTTTCTCAGAAAGCCTAGAGTCCAGCGAGGGAGAAAGACAAACAGGCAATCTCAAAACAGTGAAGTAAGTGCTATGGTAAGATAGGGTACTCTGGAGCTTTGCTACTCTAAGTGCAGGCCCCAGACCACCCATATCAGCATCAACTTGGGACTCGTTAGAAATACAGAACTTCAGACCCTACCCTGCACCTGGTGAATCATAAAGTCTGGGAGTGGAGCCCAAGAATCTGTGGTTTAACAAGCCCTCTAGATGATTCAAAGCCCACTCAAGTTTGAGAAGTAATACTGCAGAACATGTAGAGCGAGGCAAGTAAAAGGAACAGCATTTGCAAAGGCACCAAAAAATGAGAGAAAATGGCCATCTCTTTAAAGTAACTTGGTTGGGGTATATAGAGAGAGAATAGGCTGCCAGCGCAGAGTGGATGTTAGTGTAGTTGCCTCAAGATGGTTCAGACAGAAAGCAGGGCCCAGACCATGAAGGCCCAGGTTAAGGGGTATAGACTGTAACTACAAGACAATAGGGAGCCACAGGTAACTATTAAAGAGGATAATGACATAATCAGATTTGAGTTACTTCAGTGAGGAGAATGGAGGGGGAAGGTAGGAAGCCCACCTAAGGCCATATCAGCAACCCTGGCCAGAGATCAAGGTGGCCCAGAGGTAGGGAGGGCTATGAGAGGAGTAAGAGAAAGAAAAGCCATATGGCAACCGCCAGAAGAAGGCCCAATTCCAGCAGTGGGATGGCAGCTCAGGACCTCTCTGTCAGCAGCTAGGGGACCACCTCACTGCATGACCCAGACGCGTGGAACCATCTCCTCCAAGTGAACCCAAAAGTCAACCACTACAATCGACACAACTTTTCAGACAAAGACCTGAAAAGTCAGTCACCTAAGAGAGAATGTCTGATTGCAAAGACTGAAGGCACTAAGAAATGGGGATGCGTGAGTTGTGGAGACTTGAGCTTCCAAGTAGAAGCTAGAACCAGGAAAAGCTCCACTTTTGCATGCATCCTAAGAGGCCTCCCCCAGTTCAACTCCAGCTCCAGTGGTTTGGTTGGCTGGGCAGATATATTTGCTACTTAGTGCCAATTTTGAGCTCAGCCAGCATTTTTAAGGAAAAACAAAAGGAGAGAGAGAGAAATCTT